ATTTCCAGTTATTAATTTAATTCAAAATGAACCTTCTCTCATTAGGGTTATTAAGTTAGAACAAAGCCTACCTACTTCCTAGCAAAACAATTTGGCAGCTATTCTGATGAGTCCTCTGCCAGGCCAGCCTCATATGTCTTGGCTGGGTTTAACTGCAAATCCTAGTTGCAATTCTACCATTTCAGACCTGCTTAAATCCTTGCTATTCCAGACTTTCCAAGTAAAGCAAAAGGAACCCACCCCCCCTTCACTAGAATGGTACAATGTAATAAGCATCATATTTGGTAGTGGAGATAACTAGCTATATAAGACACCACTTCTACCCTCCTTCAGCTCACTGCTGACTAGTGGGGAAGGGCATGCTATTGTCATGTCCACAGGACCCCCCTCCCTTTAGCAAATACAGTGCCTGGCTAAGACCCATATGTCTAATAGGTACATGATAAATATGTGTTGAATAAGTGAGGGAATGAATGAAGAAACTAGGCAGTATGTGTAAAGGTTAGGAGTTGGCCAAATAGCCTGTTTTGATCACAGCTCTGCCACATACTAGCTATGTCAATGTATCACTTTATAAATAAATCCCTGAAGCCTCAGTGGCCACATCTGTACAGCAATCCCACAGAGTAAAATGCTTTCACCCCCAGCAAGCACTTAATAACTTTAATAATACAATGTGAGAAGGGCAAGGAGGAAAAGGAGTGATTAAATATGGGGATTAGATTTCCTAGATTATGTCTATATATGTACATTTAGAAGTATAGGACAATGTTGGATTTGGGAAATTTTTTTATGGTGAATAAGGGATCTATTTTCCAAAACCAATTTATTCCATGTGGTAGGAAACATGATCTCTGGAGACAGTGACTCACATCCTTAAAATTCCATAACCAGAGAGGGAAAATTCTTGAGTTAACTCAAGTTAAAAAATTTGGGGGTGGGGGGAGGGTGTCTGGGTGGCTCAGTCGGTTAAGCGGCTGCCTTCGGCTCAGGTCATGATCCCAGGGTCCTGGGATCGAGTCCCACCTCGGGCTCCCTGCTCAGCGGGGAGTCTGCTTCTCCCTCTCCCTCTGCCCCTCCCCCCTCTTGTGCTGTCTCCCTCGTTCTGCTCTCTCTCAAATAAATAAAATCCTTGAGAAAGAAGAGAAACAAAAATTCTGAGGGAAGGCTTCTAAATGGCCCTGCGGGGGTCAGGTCCATTTCCAGAGCAATCCCCTTAACCTGATGTGGTAGGCAGAATAACAGCCCCGCAAACATGTCCATGCCCTACTCCCTGGAACCTGTGAATTTTACATGACTAAAGGAACTTTGTGGATATGATTAAAGGTATGGACTTTGTGCTGGGAGATTGTCCTGGGTTAGCCAGGTGGGCCAATCTAATCACGGGTTCTTAAAAGCAGAGGAATTTTCTTGGCTGTAGTCAGAGATGTGATGGCAGAAGAAGGGTCAAAGACATGTGACATTGCTAGCTTCGAAGATGTTGGAAGGGGAACAAGAGCTGGAACGTGAGCATGCTCAAATCTGCAAGTGGCAAGGAGATGGACTTTTCAGTAGAAGCTCCAGAAAGGAATGCAGCCCTGATGAGATCTTCATTTTAGCCAGGTGAGACTCACATTGGACCTCTGACCTTCGGAGCTGTCAGATAATAAATTTTTGTTGTTTGAAGCCACTACGTTTGTGGTAATTTGTTAAGGCAGCAATAGGAAACTCATACACCAGGGAAACAGGGTGGAAAAACCTAGTTTCAGTTCCTCCCGGATTCACTCAACATCACCTGCCCTGAGGTGGCTTGCTCACTGTGATCCCTATAGCTTCCACCATTGCCTGCTCGCCTGTCCACAGGGATACATTGATGTGAGAGAATGAAGTAGATTATGCAGAGGGAAGCAGAGATAAGAGGTAGAGAGAATTCTGATGCTACCTGAGCCCCCAGTTCCAGTTATTTTTGAGGCCAACGTCCTGCTAGACCTTTGGTTATACAAGCTCATCAATTCTTTTTGAGCTAGTTGGTTTGGGTTAAACGTCTGTGACTTGCAACCAAGCGATCCTGCCTAAATCATAAACCTATGGTAAGGGAGGGATGGCCAAAGGAGAAGAGGTTTTGGTTTTTTTTTTAAGCCTTTGGAACAATAGCTGATAATGGATTAATGTGATTTAACAGCAACCCACTGAGAAACACGTTATCCTACTTTAGATGAGGAAAGTCATATTTACTGGCTACGTGGCTCTCCTACAAGCAAGAATATTCTGAATTTAAAATGTTAAAACCCATATTGGTTTGCTTTGTTTGTCTCCAGTGAAACACATTGCACATAGAGTATCCTGCCTTATGGTTTTTTTTTTTTAAGTTATCAAAACAGAGCCACACTTTTTCAAGGCCTTACCACTTCCTGTTTCTGCAGTCTCAAACACTTTTCCTTTGCACCTGATAAACTCAATGCTCTAGAGTCTAGACAAGTAGTGGACTGCTTAAACCTAACTTGTGGTGGTGGTTATAGGAGGACTTCTGAGCACTGGCCATGTGGTCCCTTCTCCTAGAAAAAAGATAGAATTAAAAAACACTCTTATTCCTGAAGCACTGGATGTTCCCTCCCAAGAGATATTTTATAATTTAAATGGAAATATATAATGCCACACAAAATCCATGACATTTGTCTTCCTGGAATATATATGCTGGTTCTTTTAATTTTGTGAATAGGAAAAGACTATGTTGGTGCCATAAATAGGTCAAAGCAGGTGTAGTTGCCTCATTTTTGGCCCAGGGCAACTTGCCCCTATGAAGCAGTTACTGATTATGTCCATGGAGCTTCACCAGGAGCCTGCCCTCTCTGTCTGCTTTTTCTTCTTGGAAGGAATACAGACTGCTCAGAGAAAAAGAAGAGATGAAAATCTCTATCAGTAGAGGACTGAAAAGCAAAGTGGGTAAAATCTGACTATCACATCGTCTTTGATAGAAAATAAGAGGATTTGGAATAAATGTCTGCTCTTTGTTTTCTGGGGTTCTGAAATTTTTGTCTTGCTTTGTTTCTGAAATTTTTTTTAAAACAAAGAGAAGGGAATGTTCATAAAACTTGTTGAGATGCCAAAACACTACTAGTGGACCTTCAGGTCTTAGCTTACATATTTTATTCACTTGTCCAAAAACACTCAGTACTTCCTGTGTGTCCTGCTGAACAAATTGAGCATGTTCCTCAGGCTGTGGTGCAGGGCTGTGCAGGTGAACGGGACCCTGTGTAGTTGTGTAGGGCACAACTTCCACTATTGCAGGTGGTCCTTACCCTCCTGGAGATTTAAATCTGGTGACTTCTCGAAAGTCTTGCTTGAATTTTCACTTTTTCTCCTCAGAGTAGAAAAAGTGCTCCTATTACGTGTTCTATGATACCCAGTCATAACACTTTACCCATTTCTAACGGTGTCATCGTGTTACACTGTAAACTCAGATGGGGCTGAGATTGTACCTATTTTATTTGTCACTTTCTAGGGGCCAGGGATGCATCAGTAAATTAAACAGTCAAAAATCCCTGGCTTCTACGAGCTTATAATCTAGCAAGAGGAGAGAGTAAACAAGTTCAATATGTAGCATGTGAGGCGGACATAAATACTACAGAGAAAAATTAAGCGAAAGGGGCTTTCTCCTCACACAGTTTATTTAAAAAAAATTTTTTTAAAGATTTTATTTATTTGACAGAGACAGACACAGCAGGAGAGGGAACACAAGCAGGGGGAGTGGGAGAGGGAGAAGCAGGCTTCCTGCTGCACAGGGAGCCAGATGTGGGTCTTGATCCCAAGATCGAAGGCAGACGCTTAAGGACTAAGTCACCCAGGTTCCCCTTTCTAAAAATTTTTAAGATTTTTTATTTATTTATTCATGAGAGACAGAGAGAGAGAGAGAGAGAGGGGCAGAGGGAGAGGGAGAAGCAGACTCCCCACTGAGCAGGGGCCCCCCCCCCCCACTTGCGTCTCCATCCCAGGATCCTGGGATCATGACCTCGGCCCAAGGCAGACGCTTAACCGACTGAGCCACCCACGCACGCCCCCCTCCACCTGCTTTAGATCTTTGCTCAAATGTTGCTTTTTCTTTTTTTTTTACTTCGAGAAAAGAAACATTTGGAGGGGCGCCTGGGTGGCTCAGTCGGTTAAGCGGCTGCCTTCGGCTCAGGTCATGATCCCAGGGTCCTGGGATCGAGTCCCGCGTCGGGCTCCCTGCTCCTTGGGAGCCTGCTTCTCCCTCTGCCTCTTTCTCTCTTTCATGAATAAATAAATAAAATCTTAAAAAAAAAAAAAAACATTTGGAGGTTTGGAGAAGGGGAGAGGTACGATCTGTCTAAAAAGAAAAACGTTTAGGAATAGTACAGTAAGCACAGTTAGCAAAAAGCAAGTAAGGCACTTATCAGATCTCCACTTTGCCAGGAATCAGGCCACAGCAAATAAAGTTTTATACAGAATATATAGAACAAGGGCTCAGCCTTTCCCCTCCAAAACTCTTGACCTAAGATTCTTAACACTTTTTGTTTTTGAACACGTTTTTACAAAAATCTTGGAGAACCCGCGTGTTCTAACCGGGGCTGGTGGTGTAGTTTTGCAAAATAGCACCCCACGCCTTCTGTAGTATCACCCTACAGATCCTGTGCACCTGATAAGGGTGCCTGAGGCTATGAGCTATCCTTTTAAGCCTCTTCAACCCGCCCTTGTTAAGCAAGCGTCCTTATAAGGAAATGACATCTTGGATAATCAAGATACTCCGCTGTACTTCTCCGTACTGTACATATCCGGCATTTTCACACCCGTTACGCCCCGAATACAGGCATAAATGTATCTCTTCCCTCCTACTCTCCGAGCCTCGCTCCCTACTCTTTTGACAGGTGCTGGTGAACCCTGCGGGTGCTCCTGGCTCTCCGCCCGCCCAGCGCCGCGCAGCCTCCTGGAAGCCGTAGGCCTCGGCTTTCCTCCGAGAACTACAACTCCCGGCAGACTTTGTTTTTCTCCACCTTCCTCTTAGCGCGTGGCCTGCCGGGAGGGGGCAGGTAGCGGGCGGGCGGGGTCCAATGGGTGCCGGCTCCCGAGGAGAGGGCGGAGGAGAGGAGGAAGGAGGCGGACTCTGGGCCCCGGCCCCATTCATTGCCGCGGCCGGCGGGGTGAGGGTCCCGTGTTTTCGGAGTCATGGAGGCGCTAATTCCTGTTATCAACAAGCTCCAGGATGTCTTCAACACGGTAGGCGCCGACATCATCCAGTTGCCTCAGATCGTCGTGGTGGGAACGCAGGTAAGAGACGAGGGCGGCGTCCGCCCAGGCCAGAGTCCGGGGAGCGGGCCTGGTGGGGGGCTACGGCAGCGCCCGCTCCCAGCTGGCCTTTGCGGCCTGTAGGGGAAGGGCGCTGCTGTGGGCGCCGGGGCTCCCGGGGCTCTGCTCGCGCCTTCTCGCCTGGGGCTGCGTTGCTTCGGGCCTGGGAATCTGGGCCGGGTAGCGAGGCGAGGGGCGGAGCCGGCGCGGCGGGCCCCGCGGGTCCCGGGGGCGGGCTAGGGGAGGGACCGGCCGGCGGGCTGAACTCGAGTCCGCGGGGACCGGGCGCGGCTTGCCCAGCGGGCCGCTGTTTGCAAGGGCACCTGGGGGACGCGCGGGGCACGCGGGGCCACACAGGGCTTGTGGTGGGCCAGCCAGCCCTTCCTTGGTTGGTTTTAGGGCGGCAAGGTTTTTTTATTCCCCTCCTTGCCTTGCTCAGGGGCTGCGGAGTCAGTTTTGGAACTGCGGGGTCGGGGCTGCGAAGGCCGCAGCTGTGTAGCACCTGAGTGTCTTCCTGCAGTGCAGTCCCTTCAGGTTTCGGGAACGCCGAAGTAGTTATAAAAAAAACAAAAAGCAAAAAACAAACAAAAAAACACCCCGAAACCACCTGTACCTGGGTTTGAGGAAGGAATAACCAGTTTTTCTGAGTAGGCTGTGGTTTTTGTCTTCCATCCAAATTGGGCATCAGGGTTCTCTGGTCTTTCCATTTTGGGTCTCATAGATAGCATATTTTTTTTATATGCAGAAATGTCGAAGAAATAAATTATTTCTAGAGTGACAGAGGAGAAGTACAAATTTTATTTTCTCTGCCTACTGCTTTTCTTGGTTTAAAAAGAATCCTAGGACTTTATTATTAGAGTTCAGAGAAATGCATTTTAGAGATTACTTGGTATATTGATTTTAAGTGTTTTCATTTCAGTTTACCCATTTTCTATTGCTATATATATCTTGCTACAATATTTTAGTGTAGAGTATAAATATTATGAGAGAATACTGTAGAGTATATTCAAACACTGGAAACCTTGGAGACCATAGACATCTTGCACTTTTTCTTGCTTTTAAATATAGTAATAGAAATTATTTCAGAAACACATTTGCTTGGTTTGCTGTAGGATTGCTATCGATTCTGGTCTTTCCTGCCTACATATAGTATTTGTAACTCAGTGTTTGTAATGATTGGACACTGAATCATCAATATAATATTGTGAGCAGTATTTTTGTTTAGCATGTTTTGTTCACTGCCGTGTTCCTGTTCCTAGCTTTGGAACAGTCTGGGGTATGTAGTGAGTGCTGTATAAATACTTTGAATGAATATTGCTCACTGTAACTAGATAATATTTTAAAACACTGGGACTTCTATCATTCAAACGGATCTGTTTTTGAAAATAGAATTAAAGGAGGTGAAATAAACCTTCTTTAGTAGTAATTTGGAAGTGTTTCCTGTCTGTGGACCAGAAACTTTCCGTATACTTTTAAGAGATTCTCCATGCTTTTTAAGCTTGAAGCAGTAAAAGAATCAGGGCTATTGTGTCAGCATAAATAGTTTAAAATCAAGAAGGATTTTTCTTACACAAAATTGAGTTTATTTCCGTGAGTAAGCCTGTTGGCAGAATTGGGAGGGTCAGAGTAGAAAAGTAAAGATCTCACTGTTAGGAAAGTCATTTTTGTGTGCTAGCAAAAACCATCCTAGTAGTGATAGGTATGTGCCGTGTTTGTATGTTGATGTTTGAAATTACTCAGAAGGGAAATTAATTGTTATTTTAAGTACACTCTACATGGGGTTTGAACTTAAAACCCTGAGATCAAGAGTCACATGCTCTACTGACTGAGTCAGCCAGGTGCCCTGGGGAAATTAGTTTTTCAAGACTTGATTTAATGAAGTTTATCTCCGTTTAGGTCTTTATTAGCTGAAATTCAGTCCTTTATTATTCAGGTACAGAAGAAATAAATAAGAAAGTGCCTTTTTTTTCCATATTTTCTTCTGTATGTTGAAGAAAATCTCTTTTACTTGACTTGAATACAAGTACACCACTACTTTGTCATCTGTGCCATTTAATGTTTTGTATATTTAATCAGCACATGCATTACATTCATATTTAATGGAGTAGTGTACAATGAGTGAGTTCCAGACATAAGTGTTCTGACAGGTAAACATCTCAGTAGCGGTGATGATGTCTTCATAACCCAGGTATAGTCTCCATCTTACACATTATCCATATCTTAAATGACTGTAGGTCCCATTTTTTTTTTAACTTTTTAGAACAGTGATTTGCAAACTTAAGTGTATGTAAGAATCACTTTGAAAATAAGTTCCTGGATTCCATCCCCAAAGATTTTGATTTTCTAAGTCTAGGTTCGGCCAGGCATCATAGGTGATTCTGATGTGGATGGGTCATAGCTCCTAATTGAAAATAATTTTAGTGCGTCTTTGACTTTAAAATGCATGAAACTGGAAAAGACAGGGAAGCTGAGCCTAAGGGCATACTACCATCCAGTAGCATGTTGATCTTGGTGGCATTCTTGCTAATGTTTTAAATTTTGATTTCTTAAATTGCCTAAGTAATACTTATTTCAGGCCTAGAGAGTTGGAGGAGTTGAGAGGGAATCCTGTTTATAGCTGTAGATCATTCACAGCTTTTATGGTTTAGCTAAGTAGTTTTCTTTTTTCTCTGAGAGCATCTGTGTGGAAAGCCCTGAAAAGGGGAGAGAAAAGGTTGATACTTTTAGACCATGGTGTACTTTGCAGGTGGAGAAGGAGATAGACTTAAACAACTTTTGTGACTCAACTTGGAAAATTTAATCACTTTTTTAAGTTGAGAATTAGAAGGGGGAGCCCTTCCAGGTATGTAATCCGAACCACCACCCATATAGGAATCCCAGTGCTGATGACATTAACCTGAGATGCTGGCTCAGAGTTGCTAGTAAGGAACTTTTCATTTTACTTTTTATTTCAGTGATTTCAGCACTCTACCTTTAGTAATTCAAAAAGGAATCTTGGGTTTTAAATGACCAGTTTCGAAACCAACCTTTTCTTTCTTTTTAATTTAACATTTTAAAAATTAAAATTTAATTCATATAACATGAAATCCACCTGTGTAAATTTCAGTTTTTAGTATACTCACCAGGTTATGCCACCGTCACCGCTAATTCCTAAACTTTTTTTTTTTAAAGAACATTTCTATTATGCCGGAAAGAAACTGTACTCATTAGCAGTCATTTCCCACTGCACAGCCCCCCTTCCCATCCTCTGGCAACCACTAATCTATTTTCTGTCTCTATGGATTTGCCTGTTCTGAACATTTCAATGTAACAGAATCATACAATATGTGGCTCTTTGTGTCTGGCTTCTTTTGCTCAGCATGTTTTTTAAGTTTATCCATGTATTTACTTCATTACTTTTTATTGCTAAAATTCCGTTGTATAGATTTGCCACAGTTTGCTTATCCATTCATTAGTTGATGAATACTGGGTTGCTTCCACTTTTTGGCTATGATGAATAATGCTATGAACATTGTTTACAAATTGTCCTGAGGACATGTTTTCAGTTCTCTTGGGTATATACCTAGGAGTGGAATTGCTGGGTCGTTTGGTAACTCTTGTTTAACATTGAGGAACTGCCACATTGTTTTTGATTGTGGCTATTCCATTTTACATTCCCTCCATCAGTGTATGAGGGTTTCAATTTCTGCACACCCTCACCAATTTTTGTTACTGTCTTTTTAAAAAAGTGCTAAATCCTGGCGCCTGGGTGGCTCAGTCAGTTAAAGGTCTGCCTTTGGCTCAGGTCATGATCCCAGGATCCTGGGTAGGAGCCCTCTTGAGCTCCCTGCTCAGCAGGGAGGCTACTTCTCCCTCTGCCCCTCCCCCATTTCTCTCTCTCTCTTTCATAAATAAAATCTTTTTTTAAAAAAGTGCTAAATTATTCTAGAATTCTTTATTTAAAAAAAAGCACCCTCCACCCCCCACACTGCTATCTATATTTTAGTTCCTGAAATCTTGCCCTTTCCTGCTGGATATACCTTCATTTGTCTTGTGTTCATAGAGGTGATGATTTCATTAAGTTTAGTAATTTCCTGCCAAATATTGATCATAATTTTCATTCCTATATTGATTTCTTGTGAATATTTTTAGGTAAACATATTTTTCTTTTTTTCCTAGTTTCTTTATATAGCTCATGTGCTGCTTCCTTTTTTTTTTAACTTAAAAATGAGGTGAAACTTATATAACATAAAACTTGCCATTCAGAGTGTACAGTTCATTGGCATTCAGTACATCCATGGTGTTGTGCAATCACCACCTCTTTCTAGGTCCAAAACATTTTTATCACCCAAAAAGAAAACTCCATACCCATTAAGCAATCACTTTGTATTTTTCATTGTCCCTCCAGTCCCTGGCAACCACCAGTCTTCTTTCTGTCTCTGTGGATTTACCTATTCTGGATGGTTAATAGAAATGGAATTTAAAATATGTGATCATTTATGTCTGGCTTCTTTCACTACAAATAAAAAGTTAAAAAATTAAAAAAAATACATTTTTATCTCATATTATTATCAAAGAATTAAGAGGCCTGTCTTATACAATGAAAAATAAAAACTTAGTTAAAAACTGAATGTGTCATGAGTGAATATTTACCACTTCCTATTTCCAACTGATGGTAGTTATCAGAGAGAAAAAGCTAAAAATACGACAAAGCCTTTTCAGTGAAAGGCTCAGTCTCAAAATATAAATCCAAAGTTATATATTTCTATACAGTATAAATTTCAATACAGTACATTTTGGAAGAGACTGAAAGATGACACTAAGACCAGGCACACAAATCTCTAACCCTTAAATATATAGATAGTGAATCAATTTGGGGAATATTTGGAGATGAAAAAAGCAGAAAGCATTGCAGTGCCAGGTGAGCCCTATTTTCAGAGCAAGCTGCCTGTGACTTGCCATACCGGAATTTCTGTAGCCACTCACCTTCCTGGAAAAAGTGT